CGAAAAAGCACTTGCTATCGACAAACTCACGTACGGAGACAATCACCCTGAAGTGGCTACAGATTTAAGTAATCTAGGGTCAGCATTGAGTGATCTAGGAAATTACAACGAAGCAAAGGAGTGTCACAAAAAAGCACTTGCCATAAGAAAAAGCACGTACGGAGTCAATCACCCTGATGTGGCTACAAGTTTAAATGATCTAGGATCAGCATTGAGTAATCTTGGAAGTTACAAACAAGCAAAGGAGTGTCACGAAAAAGCACTTGTCATAAGAAAAAGTATGTACGGAGAAAATCACCCTTCAGTGGCTACAAGTTTAAGTAATATAGGATCAGCATTGAGTAATCTTGCAAGTTACAAACATGCAAAGGAGTGTCACGAAAAAGCACTTGCAATCAGTGAAAGCACGTACGGGAACCATCACTGTTATGTGGCTATAAAACTAGGTCACCTAGGATTAGTGTTGAGAGACATTGGAGAATATAAAGAATCAAAGGAGTGTATAGAAAGAGCAATAGCCATTGACAAAACAGTACTTGACGAGACCCACCCTTATATAGGAATTTTCTTTTATAAACTGGGACTTACACTGCACGCTTTGGGCTTCAACGAGGAAGCCAAAGATTCTTTTGAAAGGTCACTTACAATCCTTGAAGCTGCATATGGTGAAGACCATCCACGAGTAGCAAGAACATTAAATGGCCTGGGACAACTCCAGATGGAACAGGGAGATAACGAACTAGCTAAACTGAATTTGGAAAGAGCATTAGCTATCAATGAAAAATCATTAGGTGCACTTCATCCTGATTTTGCTGAGAATTTGAACAACCTTGGAAGACTGTCTGAAAGTCGTAATGAATACGAACAAGCCAGAGCATACTTTGAAAGAGCACTGGAAATCAACGAAAAAGCATTAGGTGGAAGCCATCCTAAAGTTGCCATAACTTTGAAGAACTTGGGACATCTCTTAGTCAAAATGAAGAAAGATGAAGAAGGGAGACATTGCTTGGAAAGAGCGCTTGCTATCAAGGAAAAGAATCCAGACTACGCGTTTAAGTTTCAAATGACTTATTTCAAATGACAATGTTCCTAAAATAATCCACAAAGAAATTAACTTTGAGATGTGTGACCTTCATTTCTTGTTGATAAAAATATTACATAATAAAAAGGAAAGGTATTGGATTGTTATGGTCGCATTTTCCTGCTAATCGAGGTGAGTTGAAAGAGTTTTTACTCAAGTAATGAAAATATGAAGGCAAAAAACTGTTGGCCGCAACTTTTTCCACATCGCAAGAACACAAACCTTTTGATGTTTAAACAATTGCTGACATTCCACCAAAAATGTTCCAATGAACTGTGCCTTTACCTGGCATTTTATTACTCCACGCTTCCTTGCCTTTTTAATCTTCAAGCCTTCAATTGT